CTCAGCTTGGTGGATCAGATTGTTTAGTTCTGTGTTCAAGTGCACACTTCATTTGAAGCCAGTAGCATTGATTTTGGGTCTATGGCACTCTAGGTTGAATTCCCAAATTAAGTGAGTGTATCAGCCCAAATGCCCCCGGTCTGAAATGGGACTAGTGGAAACAGGCACAACAGAGTGATTGCTGCAGATTATACAGATTATATAGCACTTAACATGCCTAAGTGCTTTATAAATTATCAATAATTTCATTTGTGCAGAACAGTTTTAAGTTGCAAAGGGCTCAGGTTTGTTAAGTTGAGTCGTTTGCCTCTCATCAAAGCATACAAGCTGTTAAATTTTGCAGAGTGAGTCGTATATGCATTGTTACCCTTTCACATTCCATGTGTTATTGATGATGCTTCTCGAGGGAGCTGTTTTATTATAGGCCAAATGCTCCAAGAGAAGCAGAGGTCCCTACTACTTATTTTGGTAGCAATGCAGATATAAGGTTTATCCTCCAAACATGTTTGAAATATTGACTTTTAGCATTTCTATTCATCATCTTAACTTTTATTTGAGCATGAACAAAACCCTTAATAGCATCATATTTATGAGGGAACCCACTTTTTATGGCTTTTTCTTGAAGATAATGACAGCAGGTTTTGGCTCTCTTCCAGCTTCATTTTACACTTCTGGGGCTAATTTACTTTGCTTTCTGACAACTGGAGCAATATGAAGTGAGTTAGGGAAGAACAGAAACAAGTGCTCAATCAGCATAATTGCTTCTGCAGCAAAAAAACTGGCTTTGCATATGTGAAAGCAGCTCGATGATGATCTTCCCTGGAGTCTCATTAAGCAAGGGAAATAGTCCCAGCCAAGTGAATACAAATGCAGACTCTTCTGTGAACCTGTCTTCTGCCACTGTGCACTGGACCTGAGTGGATCAGAGTCACTAGGCCAGATTTACCTTATCTGGTGCCCTGCTCACCCTTTGAACGTCAACTCCTAGCATTCTTGCTCACTGGCCATGCTGGCTAGAGATAATGGAACTTGCAATCAAGAACATTTGGAGGATGTCAGGCTACATGGGGGATTTCTGGATTTAAGCGCAAGAAGTGACCATCTATAAATTCTTAACTTTTTGATAGTGGATAAGTAGAAACAGCAACAGGGTGGGTTTATAACCTCTAGAGACAAATCCATGAATATAATTCAGGTCTTGGAAGAGGTATTCAGAAGACAGAACTTGCCACTAGCTCTATAGTCTCCCTAACAGTTCTTGTGTTAGGGTGTTGCAGGAGAGAAGGTAAGGACACATAAGAAGGATGCTGCTGGTTCAGAACAGGGATCTGTCCAGTTCAGCATTCTGCTTACACAGTGGCCAATTAGCTGACCACAGGAAACCCACGAGCAGAACATGAGTCCATGCAAGTTTCCCAACAAGGAGGGTTGATTCCTCAAATTATAAAGGAAGTAGAAAGTATATTTGCACAAGAGTTGCAAAGGTGTTTATTTCCAGGCACACTGTTAGTTTATTCCCATAATTTAAATGTGTCAAATACAACATTTAATACTGGTTGAAGTAAGGCATAATTTTTCTAAGTTGTGTGTGCCAGTAAAGGGACTGAATCTCACATACATAAAATCTTGGAACTGAGTTACATGTTGCATGTTGAAGATAGTCATTGTATTCTTAACAACAAACTCAGAAGTGACAGCTTCAGTACTTTTCTAATCATTCCACATGGTTGTATCTGGTCTTTATAACTGCAGAGAGAGGAAATTTGTATGAACACAGCCATGCTTTTATCATTGCTTACAGAACTTGGCTTTTTCCACTTAACATTTGTCCAAGAGTTGAAGAACATTTTTAGAAGACTTTGCCATGACCATAAACCTTTTTGCCATTGCTGCACTTAACAAGGAAAACATAGCAGTAAGGTAGTTGAGCACTGCTGTGGTGTTTTCAATAGACAGGCCGTCTAGAAGTTTAATGAATAGAATTCTCACTGCCAGTGAAACAAAGAGAGTTATTGGAAACCAGTGTGCTGTCTCTGTGGTTAATAAATTTAGTTTTCTCTGGGGTGAGTGGAACTGATCAGAGAAGAAATTCCTGCACTTGGATATATAGTCTTTTGCCATCAAAGGGCAAACCACTCTGTCAAGGAGCAGCAAGTCAATCTAGCCCAGCAAATAATTTGGCTATTACTCATAAACAGCAGATTCACCATGGCCTTCTGGAAGAAAACTGTTACCTTTTCCAGAACATTTCCCCTGTCGAGAATTAAGAAGAGTTATTAAATTTGAGATAACTTATAATGCTCAACACGCACGCATGGTGCACTGAGGGAAAACTCTACTCTCTGCTTTCTTTCTCTCAACTTGTCTTTCCCCGTCTGGATCAAATGTGATAGGCTAGGACATGCTGTAATTTGTTCCAGAGATAAATTATGTGGCAATTTATTCCAAAGGACAATTGGGTGACTAATCTTCCACCATTCTTGACAGAGCTGTAGTAAAATGCAGATCAGGTTGGTTGTTTTAACTGAGAAAGCATTTAATTTGGTTTTTTATTTCCAGCATAAGGGAGCAAGCTAATGAAATATTTGTGAGCCTCCTGGCATGTGGTAGCATATTTTCCTATATATAAAAGTGTTTAGCCAGATGTAGTATTTTATTTGATTTACAAGCTCATCCGAGAACAAGATAAATGATGACGTTAACTCTAATTCGAACTACTGGCCTTCCTGCTCAGTCTTTTATCAGCATACAGGGACTGCTTGGATTCTAGGCATCAGTCCATATCTTTAAACATTTAATACTAATAAGGTGTAATTGACATAAAATTCAAGCAAACAGACTCCATTAGGGCTATTACTTCTTAGAAACATTTTGTGAAAGCATTTTACAGGGAAAGCTAAATAAATCAACCCATAGTTTAATTGTGCAGTTTTACAGCATAATTTTTAGAATGCTGGTCTCCTTTGTGTCAGCTTTACATGTTTATTGATTTGTCCAGTTCGAGATGATTCAGTGGAAACATAAGATTCACATGAAGAAGCAGGAGGACAGCAATGGGACATTGACCTAAAGTTGTCTTGGTCAAGCCAGAGTACTGCACGTAACCCCACCGATAAAAACATTTTCAGAAAGGGACGTATCTACTGTATCACTTTGAAGAAGTTTGTGGTGTATGCATGATGCTTGCTTTAGCTTTTGTCACACATTATGGTACATTATGTTTCCTCTATGAATGGATACATTATTCAGACATATCTTTTGAATTCCCATGTTCTACATAACTCATTGTCTGCTGGAATCTGCCCACTTTCTCTGACTTGCCAGAGCAACAAGGAGGAAGTTGGGTGGTCTGGGGCTTATTTTTATTTCTATGTATTTAGAGAGATTTTTAATCCACTTTTCAGACTGTGCTGCTCCCACAAGTTTGCTTACAAGACTCTACAACAGATGAAAATACAAATGCAATTTCGGTATTTTCAACCACTGATGTTGTTTTTAAAATATATACTACTTATATCTAGTGGAAAAAGCAGTATGAGCCAGATTTTTCTTTCCAGGTAGAAAGCAAAATTTTAAAGGTGTCTTTGCACAAGGCCAATTATATTTACATACAAATTAAAGAAATGCATACAGTAAAAGGAAAACGTAATCTTCGCATCATTGCACAGCAGAGTAGACACAGCATAGGGTAAAATATGAGCTACTATGACTTTATTGTTTCATATTTTTGAAGCACCAGCAGCATGCTTGGGCATATATGAATGCAGAACTCTGAACTTATTTCTTCCCAAAGGCAGTTGCAAATTGAGATAGATGCAGGAGGAATGAAGAAAGGGGACTGCATCCATAGGTCTGAAACATACACATAACCACAACTGGAGCTCCTAGAAATTGCAGTAATTGTGGAAGAAGAAAACAGACCAGAATATATGACAGTTGTAGAAAGCCTTATACAGATGTGTTGTATGAGTCATTCCTAGTGTTTATAATATAATTTTACAAGTGCAAGTTCACTGAATTGTTGCAAAGGGTTTTTTATTTAGTTATTTTAAGGAGTTAATAAGCCACCTTTCAAAATATATTGCATGCCTCTTTGAGGAAAATTTAATGGGCAGTATGTTCTGACTTCTTAAGAATAGTTAAAATGGTACATCCTGTACCAACACTTCCTTCATTGCTGCTCAGCTTATGCCAGGCCTCAGATCAGCCATGTTCTCATACCAGTTCTGAATCTGGGAATACATAAAGCAAGAGTGAAGGAGGATTCCTCTAACATGTGCAGACTAATCTTGCCTCTGACCTCCTCTGTCCACTCAAGATAAATTTGGGCATCAAGGGCAGATGGCAGGGCTTTTGGTATTTCCTTTTAAAGAATGAAACTTCTCTTTCAGTTTCTTAATTACATGTTCTGATACTGTTTCTGTGTTTAATACAGCAGCATCAAGGATAGCAGTTGCCCCTAGAAGTCGTACCATATTATTTCATTATAGTTTACTTATTTTTAACCACCCCATAGTCAAAGTTGCATGGGCTGCATGCAACAGTTAATAAACTACTTTATTAAAATAGAAATAACAGTAAAATAATAAAATTACATTAAATGTAAAGCCGTTTTTGTGACAACTTAAAAAACTATGGTAAATTCATACCAGAAGGCCTGCTAAAAACAACAGACTGGTTTTTTGACTGGTACTTGTGTTTAGGTTTGGATGTACTGGAATTAATGTACTAATTACCAAGACTGGAAAAATCCGAAACACAACCTATTCACTAGCCTGATGCCTTTATGCTGCATTTTTTTCAGCATAATCAAATTCTGGTTGCAACCATGGAATTCCAAAGCAATCTAATGAGCAGCTGGAACTGCTTCCATCTCAGTGCTGTGGGCAAATGTGTGTTATTGAAGAAGCTTTTGGGAAATACCTTGCAAATTCTTGCACCTGTACTTAATTGGTTTGCACAAATATTCAGTACTTCATGCATTTTCTCGTCTCTCATAGGGCAAGTTTACCGCTTCTGCACACTTGAAGGAACATGGCTGCTAGAGGAGAATTCCACCAATTCCTGGAAGAACCTTTCTGAATGTATGGCTACTGATGAAGTAAGTGTGCAAGATTTTATTTGCAAAATCAGTAGTTAATATGCTACATCCCCAGCCCCTAGCTTTAATAATGTATCATGGAGTGGGGTAATTCTAATTCTAGAGAATGTGTACACAAGCCCAATTCAGACTGAAGCAACTGGACACAGAGAGGGGAAAATACTTCCCCTCCACACAAACCCAGAAAAATGCCTTAGACTCCGTAGGTTTCAATGGAAGCTTTGTTTGCTTTGCGTTTGATCTTCCCCTCCCAGTGCAGAGTGGTCCCAATCTGAATTAGGATTTTGTGTAAGAGAAATAGAGATGTCTCTTTCCACATATACAGACTGAACAATTAATGTAACAGGTACACTGGCGATGGTTTGTAAATGAAGTGTTGTTTCCGAAACTGAAATCCTCTGTGGGTTCCTTTGCAATAGTTCTATTTTTTTTTTCAAAACTTCAGTGGGATTCGAACAGGTAATTTGGCCCAGACATCCCTATCCATGTGCTTATCAGATCTCATACTCATATTTGCAGTGAAATTCTGTAGAGGCTACAAATGTGAAAAGAAATCATTTCAGCAAGAGAGAAGTGGTGCATTTGTTGTGGTTCCTTCTAGGAACCGATAAATACTTTGCAAATACCAATAAATACTTTGCAAATGCTCCAAGTGGTTGGAGTAAAACAGCCATCTTTTTCAGCAGTTCTTTTCCTTACTGTTCATTTAATTGGGCAAAGTTGACTTAGAATTTTCTATCTTGCAAATATATGCAATTCTCCCCAAGTAAGTGGTTAATTAATAGCCACATAAACACTTTGGTGGATATTTGGGGTTAAGCAGTAGCTTAAACCAAAGGAATTCAGAGTTTAAAAGCATTGCAGTTTTGAAAAGTTGAATGCTAAGGAACTGTGCCATATCACATGAACTGAAGGCCACTGGAGGAAGTCTTGTGGCAGTCATGGTATACATAACTACTTGGACAGCACAATAATACTGCTCAGCATAAATACTGTCCTACAGAGCTGGCAGCAGATCACATATATTCTCAGTAATCTTTACCATGACTCTCTAAGATAGGGCTGTGAAGTGATGACTAAGATGGAATCTGGAGTCCTAACTTCCAAGCACATTTTAGATTTCCAAGCACATTTTAGACTTCCAAGAGCATAAGAACTATGCCTAGGTATTTCATTCAGCTGGCTGTCCCAAGCAGGTGTTTTTGGAAAGCCCACAGCACAGCATGAGTACAGTAGTACTTCCTGCTCATCTTACCCAGCGCCTGGCGTTCAAAGGCCTACTGCAACAAGGGCTGGTCACCATGGTCTTCCTTGGCATGGTGAGGCTATTCAGTGGGAGTCGGAATAATACAGATGGAGTATAGGATGGAGAAGAAATTCTGAGAAAGTGAGGTCAATTGCAATTGGGAAATCCCCAAGCTAAGGTTCCCATCTATCCTTTCATTCTTTTCAGTGTCTGTAGCATTGCAGAAGACTATATCCCAGGAAAATGGATTGCTCAAGTACAAACCACATGGAGGGGATTTTTTAAAATTTCCATTTGCTGTTAAAAATATTATTGCACAGTTGCATAGGAAGCTGCCAAGATGACAGATGCTTAACGACAGTGCTTGGTCATTTGGCACCTGTCTCATTTCCAGAAAATAGAGTGCTTTGGGGGATAATGATTTAGAAATCCAGAATATTGTGCTGCATCCTGAAATCTAAATACTTATTTTTATTTTAACCAATCTTACCACCTTATTCTCCCACTATTAAGAGGTATAAATAAAAATTGAAATGGGTAGAGGTCACCATGTGCTTTGCTGTAGCTGCCCTTAAGGATAATATCTATGTAAAAACATTGAATTCAAAGGAATGGTCAATCTGTAAAGTCTTAACCAATTAAAAGAAATGAGAATTTGGTGACTGACTTCGGAATTTACCTGCAATTTCATGGTTCTCTTCTTAAGTTTATACCATTTGGCATGACAGAAAATACTTCAAAACAATAACTCCAGGTGTTGGACATTAATTTAATGCTGGGGACAAATTTGGTTCTCACTCCCCCTGCTGCTCCAAATACTTTTCCCAATCAATCTTTCCTTTGAAAATAAACAAACAGATCATCTGCTAAGTATCTTGGTGACATTCCTCATATATCAGCAGAACTACTTCCGAATAACTTGCACCTTCCCCTTCCTCTTTGAGCTTAGGGAGAGGCAGCAGCCTGACCTGCATATGGGCAAGGAAATAATTCCCATACCTTCGATCCAGACAGCCACATTCAGTCCCAATAACAGCCTCTCAGTTTATGCTTTGAAACCAGACCTCCAGATGTGCTGCACTGTGACCTGCCTCAGCCTAATGTTGTGCTAGCCAGATACTGCAATCTAAAATATCTGGATTTGGGAAGTATGGTCTACTCCACTGAACTATGTCTTGTGCTGGAACCTGTACAGAGAACTGGTTTATTCCAGTGACTGAGTTCTTTCTGTTTTACCTTAGGACTCATCAGGAGGACAGATACTATTCCTGTCCGTCATCTACACCACTGGATATGCTTTTTCCTTCTCCGCCCTTGTCATAGCAACTGGTATCCTCCTTGGGTTCAGGTAACCCTGATATATGGCTAGAAAAGAGCTGGGAACTCTAAGATATGAACAGCATTTGATTTGCACCTATTTGTTTGCACTAGTGTAGTTTGTTGCATGATTTGAAAAACTCAGGCTCTTAATTCGATCTAGTGGATAGGTGAAAGTGACAGAACAGTTAGACCTCATAGACACTTTGGGGGAATCTTTCCAGTAGAGAATTGTGGTTAGCTATTTAATACAGCGCAGCTGAAGAGCAAAGCAGCAAGAGCAAGTTTGGCTGTACTGTAAGCAATACAATACTTTTCTGCCTTCTAATCAGAGCCGTACTGTGCTTTCATTTGTTCCTGAAATGCTCAACATCTGAAATAGCTGTTTGTGCTTAGCCAAGATTTGTTTTCCTCCAAAAAGAGAGAAGAGATTTTGCTTGACTCAGTTCGAAGTGATAGTGACTTTCTTTTTCAATTATACAGTATTACATGAGTAAACTTTGAAATGACTCTTAGCTCAGACATGCCTGAAAGATCTGGCAGACACATTATGCTTGGTAGCAGTGGCAAGCATTCTTTAGTAGAGATGAGCAGTTTCGTGTTAACATCAGTGTTTTGCTGTGATGCATATCTGTGCTCAGATGGAGTTTGTCATGAAGCGATAGAAAGATGAAGGAAAGAAATATTTCAGGTTTCTGGATGAAGTATTACTATTATATTGGTGCTAGGTTTTACACACTGAATAAACTTTTTTTTTCTGACAGGTTGCAGTTTCTGTTCTCCTGGCTGTGATATTCATAATGAATTTTCACTGTTACTTAGTGTGAACCCAGAGGGGAAATCATCCTCTGCTTACCCCAACAGTGCATGCAGTTCTTTCTTAAGTGCTGTAGCAGTAGCTCTAGTCATCTGTTGCTCTTTGAACAATAACAAGTAAATGGTATGATTTCTCTTGATGGAAATTGATGCTTCAGCCACAGACCCCCTGCAGAAATGCCCAGCACACAGTAAACAGAGGCATGCCTTGCACAGTGTATTTTTAATCTTTATTCCAAGAGACTTGGACCTCAGTATGAAAAGTTCCATTTCTTAAATTCCTATCCCAGTTAACTTTCCCATCTTTTCATCTTCAGGTGGTCTAAATATTTTCAGCATGGAGACTTTATAGGTTTGCCTCCCTCTTCAAAATGAGCCAAATTGCTATGGCTATTACTGAAGTATATGCTATAACATGACTCATTTTTGCATGTCACTTTTGAATAAGATTCCCTGTTACTCAGTGGTTGTTACAGGAAGGGTGTGGAACTACATTCAGCCCAAAGTCAGATTCTGGAGAAGCTCTGAGGGCTACATTGCAGTGCTTGGTGAGGTTGATGGCAGAAGGCAAAGCCAAAAGCTAACCTCAGCATATTGTAATTTAAAGGCCTTACTTCCAGTAATTAAGCCCGGGGGTGGAAGGAGGAAGGACATTTCCATCTTTTGGAATGAAGAAATACTGCACAAAGTCTGGAAAATCACCTAAGAATCAATGGTTTGAGAAGGGGGAGCAGTTAAGAGCAGGGAGCAAGGCCTGGGGAGTCCTGGAGGGCCAGGTCTGAGGTCCTGGACTCCTGCTCAGGCCCACAATTCAGGTGTCATCCTTCTGTTTACAGGCATCTGCACTGCACCAGGAACTACATTCATGTGAACCTTTTCACCTCCTTTATTCTACGTGCTATATCCATTTTCGTTAAGGACTCTGTGCTAACATGGATGTACAAGACAGCCCCTCGTGAAGAGCAGTGGGAGAGTATAATTTCCTATCAGGTAAGGTGCTGAGGCTAAAATATCTTTTTGTAGCACTCACTTAAGCCTGCAGGATATTGTCGCTTGAAGGGAATTATTTTTGGACTTGTATAATACGACTGAACCAAATAGGTTCACTGGGTTAGACAACCAACTGTCACACTTGCAGTTGTGAATTATATTTGTATATAAAGTGGGAATTCTTCTCAGTTTCCTTGGTTGTAGGAAGCTTTTCCTCTGTGCTTTGATTTCCTTTTTGTTCTTCAATCATTTCTCCTTCCCCTCAGAAATCAAAAGGCAGCAACATGCAATTTTTCTAGCGATTTTTACAAGATCTTTTTGTGCATAGAAAGACATCCTTTTAGCTACCAACCCAATATTCTAACAAACATTAGAAATATCCCCTGAAGTGTCCCCTAAGTGAAAGACCGGAGGTACCAGAAGAGTGCTGCCATAACCCATTATTATACTTGGTAATTGAATGCAGCTTGGGTAGAGGAACAAACTTTTTTTCAAAACAGAAATGTGTAGATCCAGTCAGCTCTGTTCCCTGCTTTTGGATGAACTGTCCCTTTGTGTTTTTTTCAAAATACAGACTTAGTTGCCAGGCTCCTGAGCAGCACCAGTAGAAGCGATCCAGCGGAAGGGGAATTCCTTGTCTCATCCACCTCAAAAAGCCCTTAGATGGGTCATAGGAGGTGCAACAGGAAACCAGAGAAACCAGAGCTGGGCAGAGGCACCTTTTGTGAGCAGCACTCCATTAAACCAAGATTGCAAGATGCCTCTGCCTAATTTTTGACATCCCTTCTAAATTTTGGCATTCCTCGTGTTACTCAAGACAGAGACATCACTCTGCCGACAAAAGTTCATATAGTCACAGCTATGGTTTTCCCAATTGTAATGTATGGCAGTGAGAGCCTAAGGATGGCTGAACTGATGCTTTTGAATTGTGGTATTGGACAAGACTCCTGAGAGTCTCTGGGACTGCAAGGAGATCAAATCAGTCAATCCTAAAGGAAATCACCAACACTGACTGTTCTCTAGAAGGACAGATACTGAAGCTAATATTTTGGGCACCTAACGAGAAGGAAGGACTCATAGGAAAATATTCTGATTGAAGGCAAAAGAAGGGGATAGCAGAGGCTGATGTGGCTGGATGGGGTTACTGGGAGGTGGGTGTGGGGTTGGGTGGACTCTGGGGGATGATGGAGGACAGGAGAACCCAGAGGAATGTTGCAAAGAGCCGGGCACGACTTTGTGACTGAACAACAGTGTTACTCAAGAGGGTTCCCTGACCCACTAGAGAAGATTTGGGGTGGAGGAGGCAGTGGGCTGCTAAAGTCTCCCTCATGTTTATTGTTCTCACAATCCAAGCCAATAGAGCTTATATGCTTATGAGAAAATTGCAAAAGTCAGGGGAAATTGTCTATTTCTCTTGGTCTTTTTGGGATCTGGTTGAAAAGTTGTTTTGGGGGCTCCCCCTTTTTGTTCAAAGCAAAATCAACAGCCATTGCAGGTTTTTCTATTGTTTTGAGCAAAAACATGGGGAGAAGATGGTATCTCTTATGTAACATGTAATTCAGGTTTTCCCATTCTTGTTTTCTGCTATAATATCCGCTATATATATTTGCTAAACTCTCTTTTCTGCTCTCTTAGGAGTCATTTAGCTGCCGCTTGATTTTTGTGATGATGCAGTATTGTGTGACTGCAAACTACTATTGGCTGTTGGTGGAAGGAATGTACCTATACACACTGCTAGCATTATCAGTATTTTCCGAGCAGAGAATCTTTCGGCTTTACCTTTGCATTGGCTGGGGTAAGTCAGCCTATGTCTTCCCTGCTCTGTCTTCTGCAAACTGTGCTTTGGTGTGTTAGGAAAACAGAATGGAGGAATACTATTGCTTTTTATTTCCAAAAGAATACTTACTTTTTCCCTCCATGCTTTAGTTAGGAGTACAGCCAGAAGTTTCAATTCTTATACTGCTTTGCTAGGCACTCGATACCCTGTGCGTGTGCCATTATTTTTCTTCCTACCATCAAGCAATGATGATGACTACTTGCTGAACGAAGCATACAGAGTTACCCTAAGTGTTAGCAGTGTGGTTCTTTGATGGACCAAAATAGTAGCCTTTCATGTAGGGAGTAAATTGCACATTCTAGCTATGTATTTACTTTCAAGGAGAAGATGGGGTGAGTTCTTCAGTATTCCATTGAATAACAGTCAGCATACATAAATCCTGAGCAATTGCACTTAGCATTTCACAGTGTACAACTCCAGAGAAATGCATAAAGACCTTGCAAAAACAACACATAAATCACTATGAACTGCACTGTTACTGAGCAGCTCACCCATGACAACTTGTGCACATTTGTTTTGTACTTGATATTTGTGAGCACTGCAGCACTTTGTCTAATAGATTCTTCTGGAAGGCTGCACAGAGCAACTAAGAGCAACAGGATCCTGACAGTAGAGTGCTAGCAGCAGCAACCTTGACTGACTTATAGTTCATGACCTGCCTGGCCTCTAACCTAGATAGTTACTAGGTGTTGTTCTCATGTGAGTGCAGAAGCAATGGGAAATGGCGATGAATGCAAATGCTTTCTTGATTATCAAATCATCACTTTAATCAAGCAACTTCTGAGACTAACTTAAATTGGCCAATCTAAAATGTCTAAAGCCTTAAGCATCCCCATGTCAAGATAGATCAGGAAGTGCCATCCAGGTACCCCTCCTGATTCCTTTCGCTGTAGAAACCTCTACCCCATCAGCTTTGGAGGGTCTGCCTCCCTGCATCTGCTGGAGGCCACACTCCACCCTTGTCATGTTTTAATTCAGAAAATCACACCTGCATTTTCTGTACCAGTGTGATTTTGTATTAGGGAAAATACTATTTTTTCCTTGCCACTATTGTGGCAATTCTGGTTTTATTTCTGCATTATATTGTTATTGTAGATTGATGTGCACCAGTAAATTAACAGGCTATATTATATTGTATGTATGTAGCTTGTTTTAAACTGTTCACCATTCTGAGAGCTGTTGCTAATTGAATGGTTTATAAAAGCTTTAAACAAACAAACAAATAAATTCAGCAGCATGGTGGTGATTTGGAGATGGTAGAGACTGCTAAAAAGATGAGAAAGTCACATGCAGTCCCCAGCCACATGTGATCCATCCCTTCTCTACCTGATCATCTCTTGGAAACCTGACTTTTTTAACATTCTGTCAGCTTGCCTTAACTAATCAAGAATCATGGGGTCTCAGGATAACTACTTAGCCCAGGAACAAGCTATTTTTTTCTTGTGGCTTGAGCACATCTGTGTAACTACCCTTGATTCCAGGATTTATTTGAGATCTTTCTTCATGTACATACACACACCAGTTTCAAAGGAACATTGCGGCCTCCAACTGGCCTGTGTCAGCTGTGATAAGTTGTGGGGCATGTTGCCCCTTTGAATATTCACACCATAGTGGGCTGTGGCAAACCTGGTGAGGATAGCTTGTGAAGGATGTGCAAAGGTTGTTTAAGTCTTGCATAAAGGAGACAAAGGCAACTGTATGTCATAAAATGGGAGAAAGAGCTGTTGTTTAAGTGTACAACTTAAGTAGAAAGTTATGATTACAAATATAATTATCATTGAGCAATAAAACTTTTCTAAGTGATGTGCAGATTGAAGCTTCTTTAAACAAATCATTCAGAAAGTAATTTGCATTCCTTAACTAGTGGTTGGAGAGTTGGACTGGGAATTGGGAGATCCAGCTTCTACTCCCCCGGATACCCATGAAGTTTACTGGGTGACTTTGGGCCAGTCATTGACTCTTAGCCTATTTATTTATTTGTATATGTATTTATAGGCCTCCTGTAACTGCCGAGGCCTTCCTAGGCTAATTACCTCACAGAGTTGTTGGGAGGAGAAAAATCTGCCTTGGGTTCCTTGCAGGGAAAATGTTGAGATAGAAATATAATAGAGAAAAAGTATTCAGGTGCCTGAAACTTTTAAAAATTGTGCCTAACAAGTATTGGAAATAAATTTACTTCTTCAAAGACTACAATTAATATTCTAGCATAAGGCATTGTAAACATTTTAGAATACTCCTAAAAAGCTAAATGTACATGAAAACTTGCATTAATTAATGTTTCCCATTACATCCTGAATTTGTAACATTTATAAAACATGGCCATTAAAAGTAATTGTTATGTTAAAACAGTTGTTTGATATAAACTCTAACTTTTTGCATACCTACTGGTTTATAGAAATGCACCAAAATGTTAAGTTAGAAAAGCTTCCCATTAGTAAGGCTGCTTATAAAATTATCTGAGATGGCACTAATGCATTACTGCAAAACATTATTAACTCCTGCAATCTGTAAACATGTCTAAAAAGCAACAACAAACACTGTACAAAAATGCACCCAGTGTTTGCACAATTTCTAAGACATAACCTTTAAAAAGACCTTCCCTCTTCCTCTTCTTTCAGTCCTTTGGATTCTATTAGATAAAAGTTCTAATTCATTACTGTTACCTCTCCTATTGTGAAATACACTCAGATAATCAACCAAAAAACTTTTCCTTAAGCAACATTGCATACAGTCCTGATGAATCTGATACCATAGACAGCATTGGCTGATAAAGCAAATAGCTCCAAGCCTTATTAGCACATTCCTTTACAGAAACATTCTCTCTGGATATTTGTATCTTCCTGCTTACCTGCTTATCTTTCTATCAAAAATAATCCTTTCAGTGTTTCTTTTGTCTTGAAATGGAGGACTCCCCCTGATTTTATAGTCCTAAATATAGTCCTAAAGTGAAGGAATACTATTTAACTAGGCACAGATTTCTGGTTGCTTTTTTTTCCCCTCTACTCATGATTGAACCTGCAAGGTTCTTTATGAAGGTATAGTAAATGTTAGTATTCTAGGTTTTCATTGAGACTCTTTGGGACAAAACTGTCCAGCTTTACAATCTAGAACATTTCTCTCCTGAAAAATTTCACATTAGGTTCATGTCATTTTCCAATTATCCAAAAAGTAACAGGATAGTTTTGTTGTAAGAAATAGTTTACTAAGAGGGCACCAAATCTGTTGCTATGTCTATTGCTAAAGCGTCTGCTCATGCATTTCTGCAAGGGTTTTTGCAATTGGCCAACATGTATTTTGTCACCTCATCTACACTTGATCATGTATAGCATGCACACAGCACTACAAATGGGAAAATTTTGAATATTATGAATTCTCTTATCTACTGTATTGATAAAAGTGTGTCATTTTGGTATATTTACAGTATTCCAAAATCAAAAGAACCACCAATAGCGCATTCCATTTATAAATTTTATAGGTTTAAAATTCAGAAGTTTAAATGTGTTTAAATATGAAAAAGTTATTTACAAATGTATATATTTAAAATGACATTAAATGTTTCAGGGAAAACACCAACTTCAGTCACAGGAGTATATTAGAGTACCACTGAAAAGCTAAGGCACAACTTCAAACCTCACTGAGGGAACATGGAGTTACACTCAGCCTATGTTTCACAGCCAATCAAACTGTTTTGGCTTGTTTCAGCTTGTCTTTTACACTGATACTGGGTTTCAACTGATCAGTAAACACTGTCTACTTTTAAAAGAAGGCTTTGTTCAAAGAGATCTTCACTGCACTTGAGCTGCTAACATGTTTTCTCCCTCATTTTGAGAGAGGATGTCCACCATATCTGGATGATGTCTTCTGGGTACAGAAGCTGATCCTGAACCCATGTTTCTCTGCCCTCCTTCCAAGAGCTTGCTTCTTTTGCTTGTGCTGGCTTATCACTTTGTAAATAAATGCAGTCAGTACCCAGATTGAGCTTTTGGATAAGGTATCCATACTGTCTTTGAGCCATGCAGTATCAAGTAATTATTGTAATGTAATTATTCAAAGCAAGTATATATTTCCAAAAAGTATGCATAGTTGATTATGTCCAGAATTTATGAGGGCAAACCAACATCTTTTGATTGCAACACCAACATAATTCACTAGCTTAAGATAGCACAGCCTGTGTTCAGCACCACCCAAGAAGGGTTTCAGGACCATGTAGTCTAAAGTCTAAACTGCTTTAGCCGGGCTTTGTCCTTCTGTAAATTCACCTTGTGTTAACATTCTGACAAACAACTTTATTGGTGAAATTCATATAAATGATCAATGGCAAATTATTTCTATAGCTCTGTGTACAGTGATATACATTGTGCTCTGTTTGGAGTCAATAAATAAATATAAATAATAAATAGCTAAGCAATTCTGCTGTGGTTTTCATAGATCTAATGGCAATTACACCTACGTATTGTAAAATTATTCAAAGTCATAAAAAGCAGAGACTTGCAAAATATTGTACCGTTCATAGAAATTGCCTAACATTTATCTAAACATATGGACATATATAGAATTTGCATTCTCTCCATACCTAGACAGGCCCCAGGACCATTATAAGGAATGCTGTAGACAGTGTGTCCCTTTTTGACTAATAAATTTCTGACTGCAGGTTCACAGTACTGGAAGATAATGGTTGTGATCCTTCATGTATTCTGTGCATGTGCAGATTACTTCTCTTCTATAAGCTGAGAAAAGCATGTTGCAAGGGGGATCTGTGTGAATGTTAAAGAACTCTGCATAGATCCTTATTATATATTGCACAGTTACTGTGAACTTCTCTTCCTAATGTGATGATGTTGCCAAATCTGCCTTTCTTGCTCTCATTTGGTTTAGAGTCCTGAAGGTTGAGGGACAGAAATGGAGTTAGGAGTGGTGACAGTGTTGAGTAAAACATAGCAGCATATTTACGCAATACA